TGCTTGCCCCCAACTGCCCCCCCATCCCCTACCGGCCTAATCACTCCCAACTGCCCTCCCCTCCTGGCCTGATCGCCCCTAACTGCTTCTGCCTCAGCCCCGCCATTATGGCTTTGTCCAGAAGGACTTCTGAAGATCTCCTGGAAGGTCTCCCGGTCTAATTAGCATATTACCCTTTTATTAGTATAGATAATGTTACATAGTATAATGTATATGTGCCTTTTTTAAACCTTTTTCAGAATAAGTTGAAACAAAGCCCTGGGTTGGATAGTGAAATAACTTTGTTAATAAAGTGAGGAAAGTAGATAGGTTCTGTGGAGCTGGGTGCAGATGTCTTGTGACTGTATTTTAATTATAAAAGAGCTGGCAGGCTTCCCCACACACTCTCCCTGTACAAATGCTAGCTCTGGTTCAGAGGCCTTCTTTCTGCACCCAGTTATTCTCACACATAATTTCCCCCTTTTGTTTCTGTTTTATTTTGGAATGGCTCCTAACCTTTAGAGGAAGTACATTTTGTCTGGGGCAAAAGGATGTCCACATGATCTTATCTGTAGACACTTTGGCAACAGAGAAAACGTCTATATTAATGCATTAAAGTCCTACACAAAAATGGAAACAAGGTCTCATGGAAAAAAAGAAAAAGTCATTATGTGGTTTTATCTGTGCTCATTGTTCCCTGAAGTGACCTGATCCTGGTCAGTTTCTCATTGGCGATTTTAATTATTTTTGTCCTTTAAGTAAACGCTTGAGAAAGTAATTATGCGGTTGTTTTAGAGACCCAAGAGGGACATCTTTGTGATATGACTGAGCTGACTTTCGGGGATTCATTTGAGGATGGGGGTCTATCTTAGTGCTTTGCTAAGTGACTGAAGTAACTGGATTCTAGAACATGTTCTGGATCTTTTGGTAAATTTAATGGCCAGATTCTCATTAAAATGTCCAATGAATCATTAGGAAATAATTAAACACCACTCATTATTACCAGGCATTAGAGGGCAGTGGGAAGAACAGGGACCAACGATGCAGACCAAGAAGTGTGGGAGGGCTGGGCGGTTCCTGCCCCACAGTGCCCCCTTTTGGCTCCAGGCTTCAAAGAGCAAAGAGCTATTGCAGAATACCTTCACCCTGACTCATGTCCAAGTTCACTTGCCCAGCTAGGCTGTCAGAGCACCCCTCCTTCTTGCCCCCATTCCCCATGTTGGAAGCATGAACTGGTTCCAGGTGATTGCTCACCAGGCACTTCCAGCAATTCCCCCTCAGCCCAGGACCCGGCAGAGCCTTTACTCTTCCCACTTTATTCTTTCGCTTCAGGGAACCCCCTCTGCATGCTGCAGTTACATACCACACTAGAGTTGGTTTTTCTTTGACAAATACTTTTTCCATATTTATGGGTGAACCCAAAGAATATTGTCCCAAGGGCTTTGCTAGCCCATATGGTGTCTTTGTGCAGTAAAAGGTTCCCCCTCTGGTCATATGAAGCCTCACAGATGTTCCAACTTGGGCTACAGAAAGTGACAATGTCAAATTCAAAAATACATATATTCTTTACCTGTGGGTGGACTCAACTGGATTTTCAGTCCCCTTGGTGTGCCCACTGTCTTGTGCATGTTACAACCTTTAAAACCATAGGTGGTACCCCTGAGGACACCCCTTCTTCCTTTCATCTTTTAGATGCTTTTCCTCCATTTTCGGGTCACCTGTATGAGACAAAGCTTACAGATTATCCTGGAAGACTGTGATATGCATGTGTAAAAGCCATAAAGGCTTGCAAAGTCACGAATTACTTTATAAGTCACACTCATCCAGCAAAAATCAGTGGAGCACTTGGGAAGCCCAGCATATAGGAGGGTCCCCACAGGGCTGGGGTGAACTCAGATTTCCTGTGGGCCATGGTAATTGTCAGCAGAGGCCCAGCTAAGGTGAAGTGAATGAAATCTTTGAGACACTCGCCGGAAGGGCCAAAATCCTGTCATGAAGAGAAATTACATTTTAATGCAACATTTTAAAAACTCAAAATGAATGCAAAAAAATCCATGATGAACAAAATATCAAACGTTTAAATAAAGGCAAGATCAAAATTAATGCAGATAAATCCATAATGAACAAAATACCAGAAGTTTAAATAAAGACAACATCAGTATTGCTGAATCTCCCTTTGCCTTAGGCTCCACTATGGCTTGTCTTGGCACCGTGACTGATCCTGTCTTTGTTTAAAATTGTGAGGATTTTTTCCATCCTCAGTTTTCTGCCTTAATTTTGAATTGGTAAAATATTGCATTAAAATATTATTTATCTTGATAACTGAGTTTTTGCTACTTCCTTTCAGAAAGCAAGTGCCTCACTCTCCTCACCCTTGTCCAGCCCCATAGCTAACTCACTTGTTAGTCCGAATTGTTGAGGGTGTGCGAGACATTGTCCTGAGAATTCGGCTTGCACCGGCTTGTTTTAATTCCTAGCAGTCTTATACCCTGGGGTCTCTTATTAACGGAAGAGCAGAGAAGTTGAATAATCTGCCCCAAATCCACACTAGGTGGAGGTGGAGGGAATCAAATTAAGTCTAAAGCCAATTGCTTGGGCCACATTCAGGGACAAGGAAAAGGAAGGCGTGAGGAAACAAGAGCAGGTGCAAAGGCGTCGGAGCAAGCATAAGGCGGCTACCTTCGCTGCGGGAAGCTGTCCCTCCAGCTGAAGGAGCCAGCTGTGCACGCAGGGCCTCTCAACGGTGACATTTCACACCGCGGAGAGTCACCAGGAAGAAAACATGCATCCAAGACTTGTGTTTGGAAGCTGATTACTTAACCTTTTCCCAAAGTGTCTTCGACAAATATCGATACCCCCCAAATGAATTATTTTTCTTTTCATAAAACTCAAGTGGACGCATCTCCATTTCTCTGCAGAAAGAGCAGCTGCAGAGTAATCACTGGGAACCCAGGGTCTGAATGGAAATTAATGCTGTTGATGAAATCAGCAGTGTAAAACAGTGAAGGATATTGGACTGAAAAGACAATGGTATCTGCATCCTTTTAAGCAACCGCCTTGATTTGCATAATGGAGATGTCAATTCTATTGCAGGAGAAAAAAATCAACCTACCTGGGCTCACATTAACATTGCCTGCTCTCTACAGCTCTCTTAAGGGCTTGGAACACCACCATGCCTTGCCCTTTTGAAAGAGAAAAATGGGAAACTCCTACATTCATCAAGGGAGTCTTTTGTGAAAGAGAAATGAGACACATCACGGGCTGGTACCTGCTCCCCTGTCTGCAAGAACCAACAAGACAAATTTCCGCTGGAGACCAGGACCAGGAAGAGCTCACTGTCTGCATATGAATGGGCATTAATTTGGTTGTCAGGAAATGAACAGGACATAACCCAACCTTGGGCCCTATTGGCCTCAACTGCTAGAAATCATAGCATCAACTTCAGGACCCAATTATATTAATCTCATTATTTCTATGTCTGTTAACAGCTTCTCCGTAGGCTTCTATTTAGAGCAGTGGTTAGCAACTGTGGGTACGCATCAGAATTACCGGAGTGCTTTATAAAAATGCAGGTGGTAGCCAGGCCCACTTGCACCTGCACCGGCTCTGTCTGCGTGTCCCTTACTTCTCCGTAGGCTTCTATTTAGAGCAGTGGTTAGCAATTGTGGATATGCATCAGAATTACCTGAGTGCTTTATAAAAATTCCCCACTTGCACCTGCACCGGCTCTGTCTGCGTGTCCCTTAGCAGCATGGCCACCACCAAGCGCTTTCCCACGCTCGTGCAGCTGGAGCAGCGGGGCGGGACGCCATTCCAGGTGCTGGGCGACAACGCCAAGCAGCCCTACTGGTTCCACACGGAGTACCTCAAGAGCCCGAATACGGTTCACCTAGAGGCGTGGCTGGTGGAAGCGATCTTCGGCCCCGGTGGAGAGCACATTCCGCACGTCGAGTGTGTGTCGCAGACCCTGCTTCGCATTAACCAGTGGGACCCCGAAGGCGAGGCTGAGATCCTGATCTTTGGCCGGCCTCCTTACCAAAAGGATGTGTCCAAGATGATTATGAACTTGGCTCACTATTACCGCCAACTCCGGGCACAAGGTTCGCTGAAGAACGCTGCCCAGCAGGCCGAGCCATGGAACTTCTCCGATGCAGTCCTGGTGGCTGCGCTCCAGGCCTCCCCAGACAAAGTCTGAGTGGCCAAGAGCCAGTGATCCCCCGACAAAGTCCGGGAGGCCACGACCCAGCGGTCCCCCAACGCTGTCCAAGAGAAGGCGACCCAGCGGTCCCCCGATGCTGTCCGGGAGATGGGGACCCAGCGGTCCCCCAACACAGTCTAGGAGGCGGAGACCCAGAGCTCCCCCAACACTACCCAGAGCCTGTTCCCAGGTTATGAAGGCATTTCGGGGCCTCGGAGCGCGAGCCAGGCAAGGTTCAAGTGAAAACCCCTCTCTGGAGCCCTATTCTAGGTCCTGCTTCTGCAGCAAAAGCTGGGGAAAGTAAAGGGTGGTGTGGGTTGTTCTTGGTTTCCCCTCCCCACCCACATGTTAAATGTTTGCAAGCACAAATCTAAAGTTGTAACAAAAGAATCGAATTTTCTTAATAAAGAATTGAATTACCAAAAAAAAAAAAAATGCTGGTGCAGCCCTAACCCATTTGGTTCAGTGGATAGAGCTTGGCCTGCGGACTCAAGGGTCCCAGGTTTGATTCCGGTCAAGGGCATGTACCTTGGTTGCAGGTACATCTTCGGTGGGGAGTGTGCAGGAGGCAGCTGATCGATGTTTCTCTCTCATCGATGTTTCTAACTCTCTATCCCTCTTCCTTCCTCTCTGTAAAATATCAATAAAATGTATATTTTTTTTAAAAATGCAGGTGCAAGGGCCCCGCTCTAGTGTTGGGCCCAGATATGGGTATTTTTTCATTTGCAATTTCAGAGAATGCTTTGTTAGCCCAATGGAAAGATAACCCAATGTAGCCTTTAGTAGAATTATTTCCAAAGGTGCAAAGAAAGGCTACCTGGTAGCCCTCACTCTGTTTGGTGTAACTAAAAATACAGCTAGCCTTGACTCCTCATAACTCACAACCAGTAGAGGTTACAACAAGGGAGAGGAGGATAATTCAACTCCAACTTACTTTGACCTGAATTTATGCCAAGTGAGACTTTTGCCTGAATAATTTTTTAAAAAAATGCCCTGAGTTGCCTCTTAATACATCTTGTACAGTTGGTCCCATGTATATTCAAATAGTGTTTTCTATGATTATTTTCCATGTAGCTAAAGTCACCTTGATCAGATCAAAACTCCCCAAAGTTATTTTTTAATATACAAATTTATTACATCACTTTTAATCATACCTGCTCCCAGTGGATATGAGTGAGTGATTCATCTACATAACAGAGTTCACTTATAATGTCCTCTAGGTATTTTTCACCGCTGGCTTATGTTACCACCTTTGTTTACATTTAGTTCAGAAAGTACAGATTTAAGAAGAGGCAGGTAGTAACTAGACAGAAGATCAATGCAGCCGGTTTCTGTGGGAGCTTTAACAAGTCCGTAGCTGTCAAGAGAAGCGTGAATGCAGACATCGGTAAATCCCAATTAATATCCAACCGTAATCACGGCAGGAATTAGTGATGTTTTCTCTTCCACACAGCAGACCTCTTAGAAGTAGCTTCATTACTGTGATGGTTCTAATTTTGTTTATATTTTCTTCTCATTTTCCCCTATTCTAGGTCTTTCTGTTCTCTTCTGGGGTCACTTTTTCATGTGGAGCTTTTTGGGGGCTGATGTCATTCTGCCACTTCTGCTGTCCCTTCCCCTGCAGTTGCTTGAAGTATGATATTAAAATGGGCAACTACCAGCCACAATGACATACACTTCAGATGTCTCTGTCTTCTAGCCTCTATTTCAGTTTTGAACAAGTCTGCCTAATTCAAAGGCAAGAGCTGCACCTCTCCCGGATAAGGCCAACAAATATTCTTACCAAGTTGGCAATTTCTTTTATTTTTTTTTAAATTTTTTTATTGCTTAAAGTATTACAAAGGGTATTACATATGTGTCCTTTTTATTTAAAAAAGGCAATTTCTTTTAGATAATAAAATATCAAGAATATTTTAATTAAAATCATTGGGATATTCGTTTAAAAAAACAAAACCCTATCAATTGGCATTGCCATTTTCTAGAGCATGCTTAGAAAGTCTGTATTGTAAAAGTTTGAACAGTTAATAGTTTAGCTCAATTGTACACTGATTCCTTTTTCTTTATAAGTGCCCTTCACAGTTCAAACACACACTGTTCAAGAGTCAACTGTATTTTTGATTCGAGATTGGGAATCTGAGGATGCGGAGGGCTGACTAGTAGTAATACTTAGATTTGCAATTCCTCGAAGGGTCAGTACCCCAACCCATGTGTTGTTCAAGGGTCAAGTCTACTCACATGGGGTAATACTCTTTGTAATACTTTAAGCAATAAAAGAAAAAAGTTAAAAAAATGACAAAAAAAATAATTAAGTAAAATTTTTTAATCCTCATCTGAGGTTATTTTTCCCATTTATTTATTTATTTGTTTGTTTGTTTATTTTAGAGAGAGAGAAAGTGGAAGTGAGGGAGAGTTGGGAAGGAGAGAGAGAAACATTGATGAGGAAGAGACAATGATTAGTTGTCTCCTGCTCCTGCCCCGACTGGAGCTGGGGATGGTACCTGCAACTGAGGTATGTGCCCTTGGCTGGGAATCCAACCCTTGACCCTTTGGTCCATGGGCCGACACTCTAACCACTGAGTCAACATGGCCAGGGCTAATGTTTGCTTTTGGAAAACAGTTTTATAGTTCCTGTATGCAGTAATTAGGTCCTAATCCTTGATGCCATGATTTTTGGTATTGGATAAATGATTGAATCTATAACTGTAGTCATGCACTGCATAACCACATTTTGGTAAGGACCACACATATACAATGGTGGTCCCATCTATAATAATAAACGGGTAATATGCTAATTAGACCGGACGTCCTTCTGGATGAAGCCGCGGCTGTGAGGGAAGCCCGGGTTCCAGGTGCTAGAGGGAAGCTGGTGCTGGCAGCCAGGGGAAGGAAGGCCTACTCTTGCACGAATTTCGTGCATTGAGCCTCTAGTGAGATTATAATGGAGCTGAAAGATTTCTATTGCCTAGTGCCATTGTAGCCATGGTAATGTCACACAGCACAAGGCATTTGTGAAGCGCATTTGTGTTTGTGGTGATGCTGTGTAAACAGACCTGCTGTGCTGCCAGTGTATAAAAGTATAGCACATACAATAGGTACAATACATAATACTTAGTAGTAAAGAACTTCGGTACTGGTTTATGTATTTACTATACTATGCTTTTTATAATTATTTTAGAGCCTACTCTTTCTACTTATAAAAGGAAAAGTTTGCGGTAAGACAGTGGTCCCTGTTACTCAGCAGCAGCCATACATCCAGTGTTTGCTGCGTCTCTTAATTGCATCATTTTCTCTTGTGCTTTATTTAATATCATGTTGCTTTGTACAGTAATATACTTTACAGGCTTGTAACCTAGGAGCAATAGGCTATCCCATGTAGCCTAGGTGCAGTAGGCTATACCATCTAGGTTTGTGTAAGTGTATTCTATTATGTTTGTGTAATGACGAAATCGTCTAACTACACACATTTCTCAGAATATATCCTTGTTAAGGGGCGCATGACTGTAAACACATTCCTTGGACTGAAGTGACTAAGCAGGTACTTGGTCAATTGCATAAGGGCATGGACATTACATTAGATGTTATCACATCAATAATTACTGTGTAACATTGTGTTCTGTTTTAAAGTACTATTTTTTTAAAGATGGGGTGATCAGCAATAGAAAATTCATTGAGCTTTTCTGATATACTTTTTTGTACTATATGTATCTGATAAGGACCAAATCCTCTGATAGGTCAGAGATCTACTTTGCCATAGATAAAAGGTCTTCATTCAGTTATTTAACAGCAAACATTTACTGAATTCTTACTGAGTTAGGGGCTGAAGTTGCAAAGACCTCTGCCCTGACCCATGACTTCTGAGGCTCATGCTCTAACTTGAGAGCTGTGCCTTTGCAGATACGGGTGGATGTGGCAGGCTTGCCATTGGAAGACAAGACAGCTCAAACCCCCAGTTGTTGCTCGGTGTGGTCAGTTAGCATCTGGGGAAGGTCAGTTGTTTTCTGAGATAAGGTCACTTAGGGGAAGACTTTACTGTGTCAACAGTCCAGAGTATAGTCATCTTCTTTATAGACTTAGAAGTCTGATTTGATATACATCCAGAGGTGATTTGTATCTGGGAATGGACTTTTATTAATTAAGCTCATGAGAGATGAATATGTAAGCCAGAATGCAAATGTATTCACTTATAGTGAGAAACCAAGGATCATCTGGCTTCTATTGATAGACTATTTGTAATAGAGAGAACTAAAGTTGTGTCTGGATGAGTCTATTAATCTTTCATAAAACTAAAACTCTGGTCCTTGAATGAAATCTCTGTTGGAAAAGCTTCTGTAACCTTCTATGTACAGATGATTTCACAGGGTGAGCGTCTGAGCAGCGGCTTTCCACATTCCTAGCATTCTTTCTTTGGTGAGGATGCCTCTAACCTAGCACAGAACATAGTTTTAAGATATGCTTCCCCTCCTGTTCTTTGTGCTTCTCTCCCCTGCAAGGCCTTCTCCCCTTTTATCACACTTACTAACTATGCCAAGCATTTCATTTGCATTTTCTCTTTTAATCTTCATAATTTCCTTATAACTTAAAATTACACTCCCGTGGTACGATGAGAAAATGGAGTCACACTGTGATTCACTATAGTACCCTAGGTCACATGACCAGTGCCGCAGTCAGGAGGTATATTCTGTGGTCAGTTCCTGGAAGATAAGAGCCAAGATATGGGATTGACCATAGCAGTTCAGGGTGAGGAAGAATAAGCCTGACAAGTAATGAGAATGTTTTAAGGGCTTGTGTGTTTAGAAAGGGGAATAGCATAAGACGTGAGAGGGGGAAAATGGAATTGGTCTGTGATCTGTTAGTGATGTCTGCCTAAGGGTGAAGTAGAGGATATGGTAGTGGGAACACGAGACATTTACCCTCCAGGTTGGAAGTTGGAAGTTCTCTTTTTAAAATTTATCTTTATTGTTGAAAGTATTGTAGATGTCCCTTTTTTCCCCATTGACCCCTCCTAGCCTGCCCCTGCCTCCTGCCCCAGGCCTTCACCACTCTATTGTCTGTGTCCATGGGTTATGCATACAAGTTCTTTGGTTAATCTCTTCCCACCCTCCCAAACCCCTCCCATCCCCACCT